GGAGGAGGGGGAGGGGAAGAAGAGGAGGGAGGGGGAGGAGGAAGGGGGAGGAGGGGAAGGGGAGAATGGGGAGGAGGGAGAGGGGAAGGAAGAGGAGAGGGAGGAGGAGGAGGGGGGAGGGGAAGCAGGGGGAGGGGCGGAGGGGGAGGAGGAACAATGGGGAGGGAGGAGCAAGCATGAGTGTCCTGTGTTTGCTGAGCTGTGCTGAGCACTCCCCCTGTGTAGCACACACGACCATCAGTCCAAAGATTCAGAGGCTTAGGAAATGCCACTCTTCCACTCTTTGCACGCAGCCTAGTTCGCATTCTGTGCCCCTACCGCGTGGGGCCGCGGCACACTCCGTCCTGCTCGCCGTGGGGCTCGTCCACACTGTAAGGTGCACACGATCCCGGAGCCCCGGGCAGCTCCCAGAGAGCAGGGGGCCTCTTCCAGTCTGGGGCTGTCCCTGAACAACCTGGGCGCTAAGACACCTTGAACAGCACGAGCCCCCCAAGACCCGGGGTCCCCTCTTCTAACCTTCTCGCCTGCCTTCCCGCTCCGCCTTCTCTCTAAGCCCTGCCAAGGAACAGGACCAGATTTCAAAGCTCCCAGACCCTTGCACCCCTCCTGTGCCCACGGCACCCTGCTCGCGGGGATGTGCTGCGGGTGGCAGGCATCCCCCCTCCCTTCCAGCTCCTCCAGCTCCAAGAGCATGGTCTCCTCCCTCAGACGCCAGCCTCACTCTTACTTTTTCGTGGGGATTTTCGTCACTCATTATACCCAGAGTCTCAATCTTTTACAGGAATGAAAAGGTCCCCTTCCACAGAGGGCAAGGGACGTTTCGTCTTCAGCCCTCCTAGAAGGTCAGAGGAAATACGTGTGGCACATCCTTCCAGCACACGGAAGAAGGGCAGGACAGAGCCCCGGCATGCACCGTGCCCTGCAGTGCTCACAGTCCTCCCCGCCAGAGACTGACGGGGGCCAAGTTCAGATCACCACGCCCTGGAGCGGGCCAGCGACCCGTCTGCAGGCATGGGGCCAAAGCTTCCGGAACGCTCTACAACTGGACTTAAAGCCTTGATGGTCAGCCTGTCCTCCTCCATCACCATGAGGACAAAGTGTGACGTCTGCTCCACAACCCCATCACCCACCCAAAGCCAGCCTCATGGGCCAGTCCGAGGCATCTGCCGGCCCCGACCCACCTCACCCCCAACTCCTGCCAACTCAGCACATGCACACTCTGGTCCCCCCTAGGTTCTAAGCCCTCTCACCACCTTCCTGCCTGTCCCTTACCTTGAGGCGGCCCCTGAGTCCCCAGGCACCTGATTCCCTGCGTTGGCCATACGCTGGGCCATGCCGGCAACCTCAGAGCTGCCCCCGCTGGGCTCTCCCGGGTGGCATCTCTGGAGGATGAGCCTGCCGTGTACCATCAACAGGAAAGAGGCCAATGTTCCCTTCAGCCTGGCCCAGCTCCTCCTGCAAGACGGAGACTGGACGCCCTGCTCTCTGTAGTCAGTGGCGATGCCCCCCTTTTGTCTTCTTCCACAGGACGCGGTAGAGCAGAGGACAGCAGGTTCTTCCTGTAAAAGGCCAGATAATAAATACTTGAGGCTTTGCCGGCCACAGGATCTCTATCACAATGACTCAACTCAGTCACGGGAGTACAAAAGCAGCTGTAGACAGCAAGGAAACAACAGAAATGGCTGTGTTCCAATAAAACTTTTTTATAGACAGACCCTAAAATGTTAATCTGTGTAAGTTTCACATGTCACCAAATAGCACTTTTCTTTTGACTTTTTATAATCATTTAAAATGTAACAACAATTCTTAAAAATGTAAAGAAAAAAAGGGGGGGGGGGGGCTCGCGACCCTTACAAGAAGAGGCGGCCAGCCCGATCCAGCCCGGGGGCTGTAGCGGGCCAGCCCCCGGCGGAGAGGAACAAGCCCTGGTTCGGGGTCAGACGGGGGCATTCCAGTGCTCTTCCTACCACCTACGGGCCCCAGGACCTTGGACAAGTTACTTAACGTCTCTGGGTTTGTTCCTCCTCAAAAAACTTGGAAAATAATCATGCCCTTTTCATACGATTTTTGTGAGCCTTAACTGAGAAGCAATGCAAAATGGTTCGGGGCACAAATACCCCAGATGATAAAGTCTAAGCGGGGATGGCAGGGACTTTGTTATCATGGCAGAAAAATCTGGAATCCAGGACTGTGAAACAGCAGGGCAGAAATCAGCTTTGCCATCAGCAAAGTCCTGTGTTTCTCTCCTAGCTCAACCCCTTACAGCCGTGTGACCTCGCTCAAGTTACGGGACCTCTCTCAGCTTCAGTTTCCTCATCCATAAAATATCGACAATACACTCACCTCACAGGCTCTCCGGTGGATGACTTCGATGGCAGAAAAGGTAAAGTGCTTGGCATAGATTAGACCAAAAAATGGCGATTATTATTTATCCCATCCTGATTCTTTTCCTATCCCAAATTTCCTTTTTTTCCTTTCCAGAGAAGAAGTCAACGTTCTTTATCAAAAGCCCACCTCTCATCTCTGTCTCCAAAACATCCCTTTTGATGTTCCCTTGTGCTCCATCAACACAACATGCTCCCACCTCCCTGCGGGAAAGCTCGTTGCTGGAAACTAGGGCAGCCCTTTGAACTGGCGTTCTTTCTCCAAGCTGGAAAACATCGGGCGGTGTGCTGGGAGCTGTTTGTTTTCTCGTTCTCACCCTTGGAGTCGCTCTATCTGGATCCGAGGCTGACAAGGGACCAGCATGAGGACAGGCTGCCCGCGGGCCCGGGCCTGGGAGGGACCTTGTCTGCCCGGCCCAGGCCGCAGCTGCGGGGCCCTCGGGTCCCCGTCGGCTTTGTGGGTCAGACTGATGGTCAGTTCCCAGCCGGGCCATCTCTGATCCGACACGGACAGCCCTGATACAGGCCAGGCTTGTCTTCTTGCTGGAAAAGCTTCCAGACACGGTATTTCGGGTGGAGGCCTGCTCGAGCTAGAAGGCTGGCATAGCTACAGGAACTGGAGTGATTTGAGGGTGCGGAGGGACGGGGGGAGGCATTCTTTCTGGTTGTCTGGTCCTCCTGTCCCTTGCAGGGGGTGGATGGGCCCAGGGCTGAGGTTCAAGGTGGAGAGATCAGAGCCAGGGTAGAAGCCAGAAACAGGAAAAGCCAGGGTGACCACTCACCCAGAGAAAGCTGGGGCTAGTCACCAAGTCCGGAGAGGGGGGACAGAGCCCCAAACCAGGACAAAGCCAAAGCGTTAGATGCTTTCTATCCCTGCGTGTCGAGTACCCTCCCGACGCCACATACCCTGCCGGGTCCAGGAACGTGGGGCAAACACGACACGGTCCCAGCCTCCTAAAGAACTCATTTTCTAGGCGCAGAGGGATTCACATACAGGGAATGCGTTGTGTTCCCAAAACCCATTTCACGTCACCCAAGCCACACAGCTTGTCTACGTTTCCTGGTTTCTTTGCACTGTCAGCCATGGGACTGAGCTCTGGCCTATGGATATACGTGCTGGGGACACTGCCAGGCCTGGCCCACAAAAAAAAGTCTCCCATAGCCTCCTCCTCCTGTGCTGGCTGAATCCAGAAGGTCCGGCAGTGGCCTCTCGGGACGGGCAGAGCCCCAACATGGAAGGAGCCCGGGATCCTGAGTAACCCTATAGAAGGCCACTGGCTGGCCAGGACCCCCTGCAAAAGACTTAGTGTGAGTAAGAAAGAAACATTTAACATGTTGACATGTTAACGTTAATGTCAACATTTAACATGAGAGACTCAGGGGCTGGCTTGTTACCGCTGTTAACGTGGTCAGAGCAGATATGATACCGTAAGAGCTGTGACGCCACAAAACAGGTAACTGACCAGAATGAAATCCAACCTCCCTCCCTCCCAGCTGAAGAGTTCCAGGACTTGAGCAGCCTCCAAGCCTTGTCGGAGATGTTCCCAGGCAAACCTGAGCTCTTGCTGGAGTTTGTCACTGGGCCCCCACACTGAGTCAGCCTCCTGCGCACCCCTGACTCATCCCACCCTCCCGGACTCCGGGCTGTCCCCGATCTGTCTCTCCAGAGCGTCTGAAAGCTGCCGTGCTGGTCTTCCCAAGCACGAGTTGGGTGCTCCTCACTAGGCTGTGTGCTGCTAAGGAGAAGGTCATGGGGAACCTGGGCGGGGTGTCGTAAACAGAACAACAGTGGGAAGATAGACTTTTGATTCAAATTGTGGCGCTGCCCTCAGCATCCCCTTCCCTTTCTAGATCTGGACTGTCCTCCTGGAGGTCCATCTAACCGCGACCATCCGTGGTTCTGGAGACTCTGACCCGTCTCTTCACAGCATTTCAAGTCAGCACATGACAGCTCTATTCGCGTACTCAGAAACTTGCTGTGCAGAAACCTGTGATCGATGTGTTTGTGTCTGTGTTTTGTTTTTCTTTTTTTTTTTAATTTTTTAAATATTTATTTTTGAGGGGCACCTCGGTGGCTCAGTCGGTTAAGTGTCCGACATGAGCTCAGGTCATGACCTCACGGTCCGTGACTTTGAGTCCCACGTTGGGCTCTGTGCTGACGGCTCGCAGCCTGGAGCCTGCTTCGGATTCTGTCTCCCTCTCTCTGCCCCTCCCCTGCTCACGGTCTGTCTCTCTCCCTCTCTCAAAAATAAATAAACATTTAAAAAATTGTTTTAAATAAATATTTATTTTTGAGAGAGGGAGAGAGAGAGTAGCAAGTGATCGAGGGAGGGGCAGGGAGAGAGAAAGAGGCAGAGGATCTGAAGCGGGCTCCCTGTGGACGGCAGAGAGCCCAATGCGGGGCTCGAACTCATGAACCATGAGATCATGACCTGAGCCGAAGTCAGATGCTTAACCGACTGAGCCTCCCAGACTTAGTGTCCATGTTTTAATGCTCATGACAACACTGAGGGGTAGTGCACTAGGCCCATATTGCAGAAGAGGAACCCAAGATTCAGAGAAGAGAAGTGTCTGGGATTCACAGTCATGTCCCCCTGACTCCAGTGCCTCCATTTTTTCACCAGTATCTCCTTCTGACTCTCTGCTGGTTCTTTCAGTTTTCTGAAAACATGCCCCGTCACGTTGCCAAGTGGAATCAGCTCTAGGTTGGCTTGGAAGGTCAAGGATCAGGACCCAGATCTGCCCTGAAATCACTGTGTGACCTTGACCCCTGTGAGGCCATTTAACCATCAAGAGGAACCGCAAGACACTCTGAAACCTCACCTAGGTGGAGAGGGATTGGATGTTTCTAGATATAAAAATAGTTTAAAGAGGGAAACTGTCCAACCAACGTAAAGGCGGTGTTTCTCCTGTGTGCATCAGGGCTCACTGAGGGCAGAATGTGCTGGAAGCATCTGAACTCTCCATGCATTCAGGACTTGTGGAGAAGGAGAAAGTGTGTAATTTCTGCTGGGTTTGTTGCTTCAGAAACTCAGAGAGGGACGGGGAAATCGTGACTTCCAAAGCTCACAGCTTTGAGTTTGTGTGGACAGCTGGGCCTGAAGACGGTGTCAGCTGGCATGAGTGAGAAAGCCTCCCTTTAGCAAAAAGTGATTTGCAGGAAGGGAATTTCTGTACTCTGCGTGTGGGCAAAAGGCAACCAAATGTTCCCTGGCATTCATGCTTCATTACCAGCGGAACGGGGTCCCGTCCTCAACCATCCGCGGGGAGGAAAGAATAGGAAACCACGCAAGACCATGACCGGTCTCATCCAGAAGCGAGACGCAACATGTGAACACACTTTAGGAAACAGAATATGAGGAACTAATTGGAGATGTCCACAAAGATTTACAGCACACTTATCACAGCCCCACTCACAATCCAACAAGTAGACACAGCCTAAAACCTCACCAGAGTGAATTGATTAAATCCTTTTCGCGGTATATCCATATATTAGAATCCTGTCGTGCTATTAAAAGGATGTTTCCAGGGGCGCCTGGGTGGCGCAGTCGGTTAAGCATCCGACTTCAGCCAGGTCACGATCTCGCGGTCCGTGAGTTCGAGCCCCGCGTCAGGCTCTGGGCTGATGGCTCGGAGCCTGGAGCCTGTTTCCGATTCTGTGTCTCCCTCTCTCTCTGCTCCTCCCCCGTTCATGCTCTGTCTCTCTCTGTCCCAAAAAAAATAAATAAACGTTGAAAAAAAAATATTATAAAAGGAGGTTTCTAGAGACCTGGTAGGGGGTTGAGGCAGTGTTGATAACGGGAATGTAATGTCAGCCTACAAGCCGCCCCTGCATCTCGGCCCATCTCCAGAAGGTGCACAAGTAACCGGTAACAACAATGTCTTTGGGAAGACAGCGACAAGCCAGCAGATGGGGGGTGGAAGGAGACTCCCTTCTTATCATTCACTGTCTCGTAACTTCCAACTCTTCAGACAGAAAGGGGCCATAAGTGCCCAGCACAGTAAAGGAAAGAAGACCCACACTAAGACATGTGATGAGAAGATCTGACCAGCTTCCAGATAGAAAAGGGGAAGGAAAGGTCACACACAAAAGAACCAGAATCAGAATACCATCGGACTACTTCCACCTGAAGGACCAAAATGAAAATATTTACAGAGTCCAAAAAAAAAAAAAG